CCCCCCCCGTATTTCTTCTCGGGCTGCTTCTGGGGAGGGGGTTTGTAGTCAGGCCTGACTCTCCCCCAGCCCAGCAAAGTGAACATCTGTCGGCCCCCAGGGGGGGAGCAGGCTGGGTCAACCGGGACCGGGGCCTGGGGGTGACAGCCCCCAGATGCGAATCCACCCATTTTGCCGTGTTTAGGCTTTTAATGTGGAAAAGGGGTTGTCAAATTTTCCTCCGTTATTTTGCTTTTTATTTAGGTTATTTTTACAAGTAAGGAGTTTTATGGTCTTTTTATTTCTGAAATATTTTAGCTTAATGTAACCCCTGTAGGATCTGAAAAGTATTCAAACCCAGCCCCTCCCCTCCTCCCATCCGATTATTCTATTTAGCTCTTCGGTCCGTTTGGGACGTGCTTTGGAGCTGGCGTGGCTCTGAGAGGCGAAGGGCTCTTCCCTCCTCCACTTACTCCCGGCGTGGATCCATTTCAGGTCCGCACCCATCACGCCGAGGCCCAGCCTTCTCTTAGGTTTGCTATCCCCGCTCACCGCACCTTCTTTCATTCAGTTTAGTAAGTAAAAAATTTTTTAAAAGCTCCTGCAGCTTTTGCTTACTTTTGTTCACCTCTTCATAGTTTACAGAGCTTTTGTCTGTCCACAAGGTTGAGGGTCCTCAAATAAGATCCCTGGAAATCAGGTGAGAAGAGGGAAAGCTGTGCTTGCTGCCAGCAGCAGAGACCAGTTGAAAAGGAGGCCAACCCCCTCTGACAGCAGCAGAGATGTGACATGCTATATATAAAAGGGGACAAGAAACAGGAGGGGTGGGCAGGGGCAGATGCTCTGCTAAGATTAGTTAACAGTTTTGCCTGTTCTCAGATAAGATGGCCCGAGGGTAAAGAAGTACTTTAAAGAACATTCTGAGGTTTGGGGTTTAATCTGAGGCTTGCAACGTTCTGTTACATAAGGATTCCAGAAAATCTTAACCCTTTATAGCGCCCTCATCTGATTCCCTTAAGACCTCAGTGAGGTTGGAAGTGGGGTTAGTACATCAAGTAAGGCACCTTGAGACTTGCCCAAGGTCACACAGCAACTCGCTGGAGAGCTGAGGCTGGTGCCCAAGGCTTTCTGCCTTTCCTCTTCCTTCTTTTCGTGATTTACTGAAAACCCACTGTGTGGTAAACACTCTAGCAGGAGAGGGACTACAGTACTGAACACGAACGATGGAGTCCTTTCTGTCCCGGGCTTTCATTTAGAGGGGTACAGTCATACCCACACAAAAATATGCAGACAAAAAATGAACTGCCAGTCGTTGTAGGTGCTATGAAACCCGTCAACACAGACCCAAGTTAGAAAATAAGAGAAGGTGTAGGTCGGGTGGTCAGGGAATGCCCTTTAAGCCAGTCAAGTGAATCCTGAGGAGGGGAAGGGCAGCTAAGCCTTCTAGGACAAGGAAACAGCAGGTTCTCAGATCCCAAAGCACGAGTGGAAAGAAGCAGAGAGACTCGAGTTATATTTTAGAGGCAGAACTAACAAAGACTGAGGCCAAGAGAAGGACCAGGATGAGGTTCAGGTTCTGGCAGGAATAGCTGGTTGGATGGTGGCACAATCACAGAGGTGGGGAGCCCTGGGAGAGAGCAGGGGAGCAGCTGGGAATCAGGACTTGAGTTCTGACCATGTTAAGTCAGAAAGGCCTATTGGACATCCAAGGGGAGGTGTCACCCTGAAGTTGTAACTACAAGCCTGGCACTTGGGGGAGGGCCCAGGATAGAGATATGAATTTGGGAGTTCCTAGTTTGTAGAAAGTATGTAAAATCGTAGGGTTAGAGGAGATCACGTAGGGAGAGGAGAAGGGAAAGGTCACAGCACTGAATCCTGGGATGCATCAACATTTAGAAATCAAGATCAAAGGAGAGGAGTCAGAAAGAGAGACTGAGAAAGGACACTCAGTGTAGTGGAAGAAAAGCCAGGAGAGTGCAACATCAATGGAGCCGAACAACGTGTGCTTTCAAAAAGGACATGTGCTCAACCACGTCCAGTGCTGCTAGGGGATGATGTAAAATGAAGACATAGATGTGACCGCCAAATTTGGCAATACAGAGGTATTTATGGCCTTGATAAGAGGGGTTTCAGTGGACTGACTGGGCAGAAGCCTGAGTAGAGGGAGTTGAAGAGTAAATGTTGACTTCTGCATAAAAATGGCAGATGGACTACAGATGAAAAACCAAGATGATCACTAACTTCAGGGAAAACAGAAAGTTGTTCAGAGACGGAAAGGTCATCGTAATATACTATGTGGCTTCACTCAGAAGGGCGTAATTGCAGTCTGACTTGTAATACTGATCTAACCATCATGACGTCATGCCAGGAAGATGCGGGGTGGAGGACATAGGTGGGGGGAGCAGGGGAGGGAGGAACTGGTGAAAGAGCTAACTCCTCCCTTCTTTAATGATACATAAATCAAGATCATGGGCTGAGGTGTAGGAGACCTAAGAATAGGAAAAGTGAGAAAGTAGTTTTGGAAAGAGAACCTGTAAGGGAAATGTAGAAGGGGTGTGGGGTGTCTGGGAGGGTCCATGTGGCATGTGAGGTACCATATTTGAAATGCAGCCAGTCAGCACAGGAAGGAGACTTTTCCCAGCCAGTGGAGGTTCTGAGAACATGGGTACTGGGAGAAGCAAACCCTCTGGCATCTGTGCAGAAGTGGGGTTTGGGGTCTTCAAAGGTGCCTTGTATGGGAGGCAGGTCCTGGAATGACAATCCTGGTAGATGCGGCTGGTTGAGATATGGGTGCTCTGGCCTGTCCCACGGCTTGGGCCCTTCAGTCAGTTTTCAGATGGTAACTTGGACTTGAAGTGCAGAGAAGGTAAGGCGCTAAGCCAAGGCCGTGCAGCGGGCCAAGCCAGGCCTCTGGGCTCCCTCCTTGCCTGCCTCACAGTCTACAGAGTCTCATCAGGATGATAACTTCGGACCACACTTGTTTCCAGGCCATGAGTGGAATGAAAATATTCTTCCTGGGCTAGCCCAGAACGCTGTTCTCTTTAGAAAATGAATTTGGGAATTATTAGTTTGTAGAAAGTCTTCAGCTCTTCAGCTCTTAATAAGAATAGTGGCAGTAAGACTACAATACTACTATTAACTTTATAGTGGTGTAGGCACTTTTCTAAAGCTTTCGTATATTACATCATTTCAGTCTTCAAAATGGCCCTATGAGGTGGGTACTACAATCTTCTCTACTTTACACTGGAGGAAACCAAGGCACAGAGAGGTCCAGCAACCTGCTCAAGTAATGAAGTTTCAAGCAACAGAGGCTGATCCTCACCTTGGGCACTGAGCTCTGGTGTCCCTGCGATAACAGCTGCCCAACACTGCCTCTCAGAGTCCTCACAGTCTCTAAGGGGTCATTTCTGAAACGGCAGGCATCAGGTCCTTAGTGTGGGAGGCCCCCTCTCTGGGCTGATGGACCCCTCACTGCACTTGGTGGGGACAGGGCCACCGTGTCCTCTGGAGCTTCCTTGCAGCACCCTGGTACACCCTGGAGAGGAGGCCAAGAGCCTGGGGGTGCTGGGAGAGCCAGGGCTGTGCACAGCCTTAGAGGCATGGAGTGGCCAGCCTGGGTCCAACACCAAAGCAGCACTTAGATGGCCCTGGGGAGGGAGGCTGTAGCCGCTTTAGACCTGCCAGCCTGGGGTCAGGAACCACAAGCTGCTTTCTCTGGCTGGGTCCATCTGGCTGTGGATCCTCCCCCTCCCTCACCCAGATCCAGAGTGCCTGTGTCCCCACTCCCACACCAGGCCTGAGATGGTACCTGCTGTGCCCTAGTCTGCCACACAGACTAGGGTCCTGATGGGGGTAAGAATTGGGGTGAGCAGCTGGCAGGTCTCGTGGGCTCTTCCCCACACTTTTGAGCCTTACTGGTCCTAGATTTCTCATTCCTCCACAGGAGCTGTCCCTTGACTCCATGATTGCATGCAGGAATTCTCTTTCCTGGTGTAGCCAGTTCAAAGCCTCTGTCCTCACCACCCAGGATGTGAGCTATTCTTGGTCACTTATCCAGTTACAGGGCTAACCGTCCTGATCGGGTTCCCACACACCTGGCTGTCCCCTGCCCCACCACTCCTGGGCCAGATCCGACCTTGCTCCTAACACACAGCCCCTTGGGTCCCTCTCGACCCCCCCTTAGGGGCCCGTTGACCCCCACCCTCTTCTGGGCAGCCAGAAAGCTCTGAGACAGTCTCCAGGGAACCTCCAGACCCCTTGGGTCCCTCTCGACCCCCCCTTAGGGGCCCATTGACCCCCACCCTCTTCTGGGCAGCCAGAAAGCTCTGAGACAGTCTCCAGGGAACCTCCAGTCTGTCCCTCTCCCTGAGTCCAGAGCACCGCAGTCACAGTCACCGTAGCTCCTGTCACATTGCGGCTAATGACAACCTGGAGGCCTGTGCCCCTCCCTCACCATCTTCTGCACAGACAGGCCCACGTGTGTCCCCAGACGCCTGAATCACTGCTGACGCCTTGGGACCTGGCGGTCGTGGGCTCCTGGGGAGCCACTGGGGAGGGGGAGTGGCAGCCACGTCGCCTCTGAGGGAACACCTGCGGACATAAATAGTCAGCCAGCGAAGGCAGCAGCACAGAGCTGGCCGAGCAGCGCTGCACACAGTGCCCACCTGAGTGTGCCAGGATGCCCGACGCCATGCTGCCTGCCTGCTTCCTTGGCCTGCTGGCCTTCACCTCTGCTTGCTACTTCCAGAACTGCCCGAGGGGCGGCAAGAGGGCCATGTCCGACATAGAACTGAGACAGGTATGACTGTGGCCCATCTCAGGGCTGCCAGGAGTGGGCAGTGCCCAAGGAGGGCAGGGGCTAGGAAAGAGGGAAGTCATGGGAGAAGGCAGCCTTTAGGGGAGGTGCCTGGGAGGAGGAGGGAGGCTTGGCATGGATGGGCAGGGGGGCCAACAGGGTGCGTCAGAGGGTAGCAGGCTGCCAGGCAGGCTAGGAGGGGCTGAAGGGGCACCTGGACACTGTCACCATCCACACAGGAGATGCAGGAAAGTGAGAGGTGCTTTCCCAGTAACTGGGCTTGGGGCTGGATCGGGGAACCAGGTGATGAGGCCTCCTCTGTACGCATGGGGTCCTCTCATCCAGACAGATGGAGTACCCGAGGCTCTGTCCTATCCGGCATTCAAGACCTTTCTCACCCAGCCCCAGCTTCGCCTAGCCATAGGCACCCTGGCCCTAAACGCAGAAGCTGGCCATTGCTCCGAGCTTGCCTGAGTTTGGGGGAGGGGTGCTACCCAAGCATCCTGTTCTGCTGGGAACCTAGCTCAGTTCTCTTGTGCTGCATATCCAGTCACTCCCTTTTATTCCACTTCCTGCAGAGCTGAAGGAAATCCAACCACCATGCTCAATTCTGCCCAAGCCACAGGTGGCTCAATGTTTCGCTGTTGAACAAACTAGAGGGGGTAGGTGGGCAACCCCCCAGCCAGTCTTCCTTCTGCTTGGCTACTTTGGTGTCCATGCCCTCCTCTAGGGCTCAGGTCCCTGCCACCCATCTGGTAGTCCATAGTCGGGTGAGCAGGGGGTCAGGGCCCTAGTAGAGGCCCACCAAGTGGAGGGTAGAGGGACAAGGACAAGGCAAAAGAGGAGATGAGAAATGGAACGAAGGGCCCGTATGTGTTCTGGAGGGGGCAGAACTCCTCTGCGTGGTGGCGGCGGTGGGGGGATGGTGGGTGGGCTACGGGTCAAACTTGAGTAATGGGGTTGGGAGGAGGTCTGGAATAGAGGGAGGCTGGTGGGCAGCTGCGAGAAGGGTGTACATCACTGCTGGCTCCAGAAAAAGGTCTTCTCCGTGCTGTAGTCCATGGGAGAGCCCTCCCCAACTCTGGTTGAGGATGCTGGGGGCTATTACTGACGCTAGTCCTCAGGCACCTGAAAACCAAAGCAGCTGAGTAGATTTTGACGGCCCGCCCTTGACCGCGGTCGAGGCCCAGACAGCGCCCCAGCACCTGCAGCCCCTCGGTCGCGCCCACACCCCCGACGGAGCCCGCCCGATCCCAGCATCCGTGCCCCGCGCACCCCTCCAGCCTCGCGGGGCTCCCCACCCCGCCTCGCCCGCTCCTCCCGCTCACTCCGTCCGTCCCCGCAGTGTCTCCCCTGCGGCCCCGGGGGCAAAGGGCGCTGCTTCGGGCCCAGCATCTGCTGCGGGGACGAGCTGGGCTGCTTGGTGGGCACGGCCGAGGCGCCGCG